CTGCCTCGTAGGAGGCCAGGAAAAGCCAAAGAGGCTCTTTGGCACTCATTCTCGAATTCTTGCATTTTCTAGCTTTCGCCAGCAATGGGTGATTTCGTACTTCATGCGCATCGGGACTGCGGACAGCTTCCAGACTACCGCGCCGGAGCCCAAGAGCCTTCACTCGGGTCACGACAAGCTGATCATAATCCTTGAAGATCGTACACGGGAGGTGTCACATGTGGCGGTTCTGCTTTGTTCGCTCCCTGTCTCCCCAATGTCGTCATAACCATGCCGATTATCTTCTTGCTGGGCCCCAATTGCTTGCTTACAACTACCACCAGTGACAACCACGCTGACTTGTCTTTAAGATTGTAAATTTAGCCGAGGGCGAGCCGTTCCTTCGTCGCTACATTCGCGGGCAGGAGCGCGAAACGACTGAAAACCAAGCGCTGGTCAGGCCACAGGCAGCAACGCCCAACACTCTTCCGGGAGCGAGCTGGGTGGAAGCGCAGGGGAGTCGCAAGTCACGCGTTCTATTCGCCCCCCGCTATTTCCATGTCGCCTTCCTGCTCCTCTACCTCTTCCCCCTAATCTGCATGCGCAAATGTCCCAATACGCATGAGTCGCAAGCGAACGTGACAGGGGAGATGCACGCTGAGCGTGAGCGCATTCTGCACCCCGCGGAATTGCAAGGGTCAATCAATCTGGAGCGCACACAAAGGCAGCGCGCACTGGTGAGAGCGCTGCCGAGCAGCACTTCAGTCCAGCTGGAGATCTGATAGTCTCGGCGCAGCAGGCCAAACCCAGCGGGCACAAGGGACAACGAGCGCAGGAGATGACCGACGCTGCACGCCGAAGACCAAACCCAGAGGGGAGACAGGTCAACGGCTCGCGGCAGCCCGCAGGACACAACACAAGGGAACCTCAAGAGAGAGCCAAGACGGCCTTAAAAGTCCAATGGGGAGCCCAAGACGGCGCCAAGACGACCCCACGACGGCCCCCAGACACCCCCCGCACCGCCAAAAAAAGCCCCAAGACTGCCCAAGAGAGGCCCAATACGGCCGAAGAAAGATCCGATACGGACCCAAGGGATCTCCAAAACTGCCCCCGGGGAGGCCAAGACAACCCAAAGACAACCCAAAGACAGCCCAAAGACAGCCCAAAGACAGCCCAAAAACAACCCAAAGACAGCCAAGAAATGAAGACGAAAGGTGCCAGATGTGACACCTTTCCTCCTCCTGCTTTTCCTCCGCCTAATCCGCCTCGTCATCGTCATTATCCTCCTCATTCTCTTCCTTATCAGCAGCACAGCTCTCCCAAGCCTGCAGATACGAGGCGTCGCGCACGACGGCCCCCGTGCCCCTCGAACAGCCGCCACCCAAAATGCTGGGCTGACACGGTGCAGGGACCTGCCGCAGGTAGCCGGACAAGAACGCCGACTCGAGACCGAAAGGGCTTTCCTGGCCACGTCGAGCCTCGGCCGCGAGCCGGTCCCCGACCTAGGTTTGTTTATGTCGGGCGTGTCCCCCTACAGGGGGATTTTCGACGAAGAACAAAAAAATACCCCCACAAATGCACCGAAAAGGTCAAAAAATACACAAAAATAGTCCCCAGACGATTTTTTGATTATTTTTGACTATTTTGGGGGTGCTTTTTATTTTACGTCGAAAATCCCCCTGTAGGGGGACACGCCCGACTTAAACTTAGGTTCTGAGGCACGGCGCGGCAGAGCGACGGGGCCTCCCTCCCGAGGCCAGAGCGGGCCTTACACTTCAACGCCTTGGCTGTCCTTACCAGCGCCCCCGTGAAGCTCTTCGGACCGTGCTCTCAAGCTTTATCAATCCGCAGCGCCTCGCTGAGACCAGAGCGGGGCCCCTCCCGAGACCAGAGCGGGCCTCTTACTTCAACGACTCGGCTATCCTTACCAACGCCCCCGTGGAGCTTCGGACCCTGCCCTCAAGCTTTATGTAAATCCGCAGCGCCGCGCCTCTTCCTCGACGCGGGGCCAGCGTGCCGAGCCGCTGTGCGCACGCCGGCAGGCCGGCGAGCCCATGGAAATCACCGATCGTATATAAAAAGCTCCGTGGCACTGCCGGCGACTCAGCCCGGGCCGAGGGGTCGCCCACTTGGGTGCGACTTTGCCCCGCCCCCCGCTCCCCCATTCCCTTCCTGCCCTTGCCCGATTCGGCACACCCCTCGCGCTTGCAGTGATCCACAAGGAGTTCCACCGTTCCACCTGCGGTCCCAGTGCGATCGTCCGCGAGCGGGGCTCCGCCGAATTGGTTGCCATCCTCACGCGCGTCGTGCCCCACAGTGAGCTCCAATACGTCTGAGCTGGAGCATCCGTGCGCGGGACTCCGCCCAATCCGGCACACACCCTTACGCAGATCGTACCCCCTCGTAAGGAGTTTCGGCAGCTCCACCTACGGTCTAAAGGAACCGTCCGAGTGCAGGACTCTGCGACCCCGCCCAATTCGGCACACCCTCATGCGGGTCGTGCCTCGTGCTCACGCGTGCCAGAACGCTCTGGAATGAGTTGTCTGATTCCCCGGCATGCCCGATGGCGACAGAGGCGATGGGGAGTCCCATCAGCTAGGGGAAGAGACACGCCTCGAGCATGCACTTTCGGAGGTCCGCACGGACTTCTTCGATCGGCGCTGGACCACCCTCCCTGGCGCTCGCAGCGCGCCAGGGGCGGCGCCGGACGCGCCGCCAGGCGGGCCCGCGCCGACCCAGGAGGTCCGCGAGGGCCTCCGGACGCTTCTGCACGAGCAACTTTTCTCCTTCCGTCCCAGGCAGGAGAAAGGGGAGAAGAAGCAGATGGAGGAGGAGGAGGAGGAGGAGGAGGAGGAGGAGGAGGAGGAGGAGGAGGAGGAGAAAGAAGGAGACGCTGTGCTTAGCGGGAAACGTCAGAAATGTCAGGAGGAGAAAGAGGAGGCAGAGGAGTAGAAGGAGGAGAACGAGGAGGAGGAGGAGGAAAAGAACGAGGAGTGGTAGGAGGAGGAGGAGGAGAAGGAGGAGGAGGAGAAGGAAGAAAGAGGGGGAGAAGGAGGCCGGCCTGTGCGCTGCCAGGAGCCGCCTCACCACCGCCAGCTCGTCCGTGGGGAAATCCAGGTGCGGCGCCGCGGGGGCGAGCCTGCGGCCGGCGGCCCACCCCCTGCTGGAGGAGGGGGCGGGGCGTGGCGGCGGGCGGCAACGAGGAGGCCGGGCGGCGGACCGTCTCGGCGCGCTCGGGAGGCATCTGAGAAGTCCCGCCGCCTTCGGAGGAGGCCCGCCCCCTCCCACTAGCCCCCCTGGGCGCGCCGCCGAAGAAGGGCCCGTCTGGCTCGTCGCGCAGCAGCGGGCGTCGCTGTTCTGGGGCCCGTCCTCGGCGCACGGTCGCCGTGCTGCCGGCAGGAGGCCGGCGTCAGAACCACGGGGCTCTCCCCTGGCCCCGCCGAGCCTCGGCCACGAGCGGGTTCTCCCCGACCTATAGATCGAAGGATCGCTGGACGACCGGAGCCCCAAGAGATGCTCCTCCTCTCGGCGCCTCGACTGCACGCAGCTCGGGCGACGAGGCCCTCCTCCTCCTCCTCCTCCTCCTCCTCCTCTGGCTCCTCCTCCTCCTCCTCCTCCTTCCCCCTTCCTCCTTCCCCCTTCCTCCCGCAGAGGGAAAGGGAGGGATGATGGGGCGGACGCGAGCCATGGATGACGGCATTTCTCCAATTGCACCGCCACTGGCCGCCACGGCCCACGACACGGGGCACCTGGCGGGCGGCTGCACTTGGCCAAAGCCAAGCTGCACCCGAAGACGATCTGCGATTCACTGCTCTTCGCGACTCGTCCAACAAATGTAGAAGCCGTGTGCCGGCTTCTGCGGACCCTGCACTCGACAAATGTTGCCATCTCGTGGGGGCGCAAGTTTCACTTCCGCCGACGTCCGCTGGTGGCCTCGTTCTACTTCCACCGCCTTCCGCCGAGGAATAGCTATATATTGAGTTCTACATTCCCGGAAGACGACGCCATCTCTGGAACGCAGCATGTGTCCGATCACCTTCGGCGGATGTTGCCAGATGTAGAACATATATCATGTAGTTGGAAGCTGTGTGAAAACAGAAGAAGCCCAAACTGTACCACAGCAACTGTTGTCGCCTACTGTGTTCGATTCCACGAGCGGGTGCCGATTGGTGCGGAAGTGAAGAGCACGATTTGAAGACATAAGGAATATGGCACAAGTATCCATCATCATCAATGACTGTATATGCTGCTGATGCTGGGGCCGCAACATACGTAATCTCTCACGTGCTCTAGTAAGGACCTCGATCGGAAACACGTCTCGTGGCTGACGATGTGGCTGTCAACGAAGCCTCCCTGCAACGTGGAACGACGACCGAACGGCGAGAACCTCACATCAATTCTCTTCGGGGGGAGGCGAAGGGAAAGAGCGCGAGCGTTCGGTACAACATTGCGAAATGGATGGCCACCAAGCAGATTTAGAGCACAAAGGGAGTAAACATGCTGGACTTAGTCGCCTTAATACGCAACACGCAACCCGTAGCGTGCTGACACGGAGTTCAACACGCAGACTGAAAACGTAGGTCTAGCGCGATACGCTCACCAAAACGTGGGCCCACACGTGCCGAGCCAATACGCAACGTATTAACAAAGACGTTTTGAACACGGTACGTGCTGCGGTTCAACACGGGAGTATCAGGGAAGCTAAGATTCCAGAAGCGATGGCGATGATGATGATGATGATGATGATGATGGTGATGGTGATGATGATGATGATGATGATGATGATGACGATGATGATGATGACGATGACGATGATGATGATGATGATGCTGATGATGATGATGATGATGATGATGATGATGATGATGATGATGACGTTGATGATGACGATGACGATGACGATGATGACGATGATGACGATGACAATGACGATGGCGGCACTTTTTGCCACCATGCAGCGCTGGATCCACGCCTCCCGAATAGGATCCCAGCATACTAAAAACAGGCGGTGGCGTGCATCCTCATTTGTGGCGACGCGGACAAGGAAAGGGGTAAGGGGGGGGAGAAGCTTCTTAGAAGGAGGCTGCTTCTCAAAAAGCGCCGGCCCTAAATCCATAGACAGGGCCCGTGCCTTCCAAGAAGCAGGTGTGCTTCTAGGGCTGGCGCCTTCGAAGAAGCAGCCTCCGTCTAAGAAGCCTTCCCCCCTCCCCCTGCCCCCCCCCTGCGCGTGGCCGATGAAAGCAGGCGGGGGCTGGGCGTCGATTCATGGGGGCTGCGATAAGTGGCGGGGGCAAGGAAGGAGCACTCCTCGGGCCCTGAAGGCCCCCTGGAGGGCGTGCATTCTCCTCGGCCGGGCGTCGGCGCACCCAAAGCATCCGATACCGGCTATCTTCGGTAGCGGTTTAGCGCTCGTCGATTTTCGGTCGCGACCGTATACCGGATTTTTCGATCGCGTCGGACATTTGGAAATGGGTGCCAATGGGATAGCGGGGAACCGAATTTCGGTAGCGAATCCGGCGCGAAAATTGAAACGGGAAAACGAAGTTCGGTAGCGGGAAACGACAATCTGTAGCGGGTAAACGAAAACCAGTACCGCGAATCTCACTATCATCGGCATCATTATTATCATCACCACCACCATCATCTTATCACCGCCATCATCATCACCGCATCATCGCCATCACCATCATCATCATCATCACCACCATCATCACCACCATCATCTTCAACTCGACCATCAGCATTTACAGCATGCTGCTGGTGACAGAACCATCACGAGTGCAATAGTTAGTATCACAGAATGTCCAAATCACAAACGGTATATACATACTTCAAATACTTCGTACATGGTTATCGCACGCATACGTACATGAAACTATATCAGTGCTTTTCATGCTCAACACGTTTCCTTACGTTTCCTGATGCTTCCTGACGTCAGACAACGTCAGGAAACGTCAGACCACACCATGAAAAGTCAGGAATAGCATCAACATTTTAAGTATGCCACTAGTGACATCATCATCAGCAGCATCATCATCAGTATT